GGACCTTTCCGGCGATACGGCGGCCATTTTGAATTCTATTGTTTTTTAATTCTATTGCTATTATGGAATGCTCAGGGGCCAAACGTAGACTAATTTGCCCCCTGAGAATTCAAAATGACCGCTGTATCGCCGAAAAGGTCCATTACTTGACTTGTAACCAGCTTGCTAGGGGGTTGCGGCAAAACCACCAACTTGAAATGTTCCTGTGATTAAAATGACCAATCTAGTGTTTCTGTATGTGACACAGATTTATCATGACATTTCTGCCATTTTACGACTGAAGATACAACAACAACGTTATTTGTAAACAATATTTTCATCAGTTGAACTTATAATCGACACAATGAAAATACTGGCTGCTTTAGGTAACCATAAAAGGGTGGAAAAACAGGGCAGCCATCCAAGAGCACAATAATATAGTTACAGGGTCAGCCCACAAACAACAACTCGCGCTAACATGTGAAACAAAGACAAGACGTCTTCTCATGATCCGGTCAATGGACAACCTTTTTACTTTACAATGAAGAGGCGTGGTTTACAAAATCAGTTGCTTCGACTCTACGTTTGTTATTATGGACAGACAGATAAGGCCTCGTTGGCAACAAGGACAAAAAAAGAACATTAGAGGGCGGATCTTGTTCGAGACATGAACTCGTGAATAAATAAACAATAGCCTCCATTCGGCGCGAAAATATGCTGGGATATTTGTCCACGGGCATTGTCTGTTCCGAGATGTGAACAGTTTATGCTCGAGGAAAACTGTGAGCTTTGAGGAACACATGATGTCTAACGACAAATGTCCACACATATTTTTGCGCCAAATGGAGGCTATTGTGTTTATTATCCTTCAAACGTTTTTTCGCAACTCGAGCAGTTTGCAAATTGGAGAATATCATTCGGATATTTCCCGGTTATAGCTGGGGCATATTCATTCACGTGACGCGTTAAGACCAAATGCGCGCGAGCAAAATTATGAAAACCGTGTTAGATAGTGTCATTCAGCTGGTTCCT